GGAGCTATAAGAGTTGTGAAATTCTTACACGCTGCCAAACACTAAGCCCTACAAGCCCCCCTTATTTGTGTGACAGCCCTCCTCTCCAATCCACCCTGACTCTCTGTTGTGTGCCACTCCTTCCTTGTTCCACCCACCAAGCAAAGTAACTGAGATCTGTTTGAGGTATTACACTGGAGTGCAGCTCTCTGCAGGCAATTACTGACACAAAGAGGGTACACAAGGTTCAGGATCATGGCTGTGTTAACTGAGGAGGTGTTCTGGAGACCCAGAATTTAAAATAAATAAACCCTTAGTATTGATGTCACACCTTTTATCACATGTTCTTTATTTTATGTTAAAATAATACATTTCATGAGGCCTTGTTGGCATTTTGTGGCACTTAAGATTACACAATTGCTCTGTATGTGCGTGTGTTAGTGTGTGTGTGTGTCTCTTTGTGTGTGCATTCACATGCTTGTGCATGTGAAAGGGGAGAATGGGCTGTCTCCCAGGATGTGCAGCAAGCGCTTTATTAGAGCGGTAGTACCAGTAAATCAGAGCTCAGCTCTTCCTGGAACTGCTGCAACCTTTCCCACTGAGCACTATTACTGAACAATCATAGGCTAGCCATGATAATTAGCAGAGTATCTATCGTTCCAACCCTCCTGTCCCCCCCCCCCTCCTCTCTCCTGTCTGTCTCTCCATCCTTCCACCCCTCCTCTTCTTTGAAATGTCTGGTGGGTGAGTGGGCAAGGCCAGGCGCCCGCTAGATGTCATTTTGCCAGAGGACATTTCACATTACCTGCTGTAATTTTTGTCTTGACGTTGGCCAGAGTGACAATCTGGGCACATTCATCCAGCTCACTATGAGACCACTGAGAAAATATCAAATAATGACTATGACATCCAAGAAAAAGGGAGAGGAATTAAACATGGACGTGCCTATCCTGCCCGAGGAATGAAGGGCAACACGATTCCATAATAATCCTGTTAATGTTAAAAATGCATGGGTAATAACTTCATTTGATTGCTAAACTGAAACATTTTCTTAAACAGGAGTACAAATATAATTTGTGGCTGTAACCTGACAATTTAGAAGTATATAGTCCAAGAGGAGTGCAGTCAATCCTGGTAGTTTCGATCATTAACGGGAAAGGGTCATCGTGCCTTGCATTCCTGACTCTGAAAAGCCAGTGCTTCTGCTGTGTAAGATCATTAGTGAAACACCTTAATGCCTTTTCATGTAACCACTAATCCCTTCATTTACATTACAGCCTATTTTCCTCTATTATGTTTCCTTGTGATTATTTGCTCTGTGCAGAGTGTAGACGTTTTCTTTCATCAGCGTTCACTGATTCTGTTGGATTGCACTGAAGGGTAAAATAGGAGCAGGGACTGCATCCAAGATACAGATTTGTTTGTTAATGGGCTCAACTTAAAAATATGTTAGTGCACTTGAAAGTACAGTGCATTTGATCAAAACTGCTGTTTTTATAGGACTGTGTGTGTGTGTGTGTGTGTGTGTGTGTGTGTGTGTGTGTGTGTGAAGGTGTAGGTTTGTGTGTGTCAGAAAGAGAGAGAGATGAAAAGTTTGTATAGCTATGTGTGTGCTCAATAGTGCGGGACCCGAATGGAGAGAGGGGGTGACAGGACTTTCTTGGTTAAAGATTCCCCATCTGATAGTAGCGGCACTTTCTCCATTTTCTTTTCATGGCCAAGCGGCATCTGGAGTGGATTTTGTGCTAGCAGACACCGAGGAACATGATTACATTCGGCTAACTGCGTTCTAAACTGATTATGCATGTGCCAAGCTAATGGACTACATTTGCAAGAGGAAAAATAACATCCAATCAATCTCAATTACCGCCAATTGCACCAGCCCCCGAGACAAGGAAGGTAGCCAGCTAAGTCCCCCATGCTCCTCCCCTTTCCTCCAGCCCTTGACTGGAAACCGAGGCCTGTGGCTGGGCCTGGTTAGGCCACACCCATTCTGTCTGGCCGGAGCAGCAGAGGCCTGAGAGCTGGATTAGTGCCACTCATCTCACCTCCGCACTAGCACATAGCCCTGAGGCCTATACCGTTGATGGTATAAGGGCTATCATATTCACATATGTGGGTAGCTGTAAAATGAGAAAAGTGAAGCTGGGTTTGTTCAGGATGAAGAGAGCCTCGGGGGAGCGCTAAGTACTCAAAAAATACAATAAACAAACTAAGGTTTGGGTCATCTGCACAGTAACAAAACCCACGTGTTTGTGTTTAAAGTGACCATTTGGGACAGGATGGGTAACCATCATGCTATCATCAGAGCAGCTAAAAACCCTACGGGTAAAAGAGAAGGTGAAAGTTCACTTCAGAGCATAAGACCGTGCTGGCAGAGCACAGGGCTCAGATTTGGTAACTCTCAACTGAGCACAGGGGAGGACAGCAGTGAGGACCGCTGTGTGGTGGTCCATGTGGTCAGGATGGCTCGCTGGATCTTTCTGTGGTCTTTTGGAACATTCCAATACATGGGGCGGTGGGGGTGATATTTTTAGAAAGCTCTAATATGGGCCGCATACCACAGACTCTCAAATTATCCCATCCAGCTTAGCCCTCAGTTTAAACCTTCCTTTTTAATTCCAGTAATTACAGGCTCCAATTTATATGGAGCTGTGCGCACAAAGGGCCTGTTTAATGCAAACCAGTTTGATTTGGGTGATGTGTCCCAAGCATCTCCCACATCTTACGGCCTGTTTATGCTGACTTGATGATTTATTTTCTCCCCAGAAAGGTTAAAAATGGTGCTATACGCATCAGATTTCGTTGGGGAGGAATAAATGAATGGTGATTTTCCTTTTTCTGTCCTTGCCTAATATACCGAGTTAGCTTTACAGGCTTGTGGGCCACTGTGGGTTTCTGCCTGTCAGTATATCTACCAGGACAGTAAATCCAGCACAGCACGGAGACATTGACATTGTCAAGTGGGGAGCCAGTGCTGCCAAGAGACCTCACAACCATGTACTTGTTGTCCGCTAATCACATTTGCAAGTCGTAAAATATTGTAATAATTCTTGTCAAGTCGCAAACATCTCTATCTTTGAACAGAGTCTGGGATGAGGAATGCTTATGTGGACTGCAGTGTTCCTGGGGTGAGAGTGCAGGTAATTTCTGGACAAATGCACACGCTCATACTTGGAAGATCAATTGGTTTTAAAAAATATGGAGCCATCTTAAGAGGCTTAAGTCATAAAAAATGATCATGCCTGGATGTGTTGTACATATTTAATCCCCCGCAGCCTGAGCAGCAGTATGACATATGTCTCTTCTTTCTCAAAAACTCAGGAAGAAAAAAAGAGATGGTTCTGGGCTCACAGCAAAGTGGAAAGCACACAGATAATGTGATATAGACTGAACCATATCTTGTGAGACAAAAACAATCTCTCCCTTCAAAGGTGTGAGTAAGAGAGAGGGCATGTCAGAGCCTGTCTATTTTGGTCCAATGTGAGACTGTCATGTCATTGGAATCTGGGCCAGTAAGTCCAGCAGCCACGACCAAGAGAAGATGACCATGGGCTGGGAACACAATAGGATTCATTGCCATGCTTTTTTTTTGCTGTTTCACAACTGACTCTAGACACTGTGATGTGACACATATGTATCTATAAATAAATAAAAAATGTTGTGCGGCCCTTTCTGTTGTCCTCATGCAGACCACAGACTGAACACCTCCCATGTCCCCCGGCACCAGGAGACCTGCATCCCACCGTTTTGTTTATCAAAGCACTGAAAATTGATTTCTCCCTTTTACTGTTATTTCAGTGTGAATGCATTGTGGACAGAAAAACATGCCTGTCGTACCACTGGATCTAAGAAACCATTCAGAACGCTGGGCGATCTTCAATAGTCAGTCCTTTTTGAGAGGGACCACTTCACCTTAATCTTTTTATGTAATTAAAAATGTCTGAAGCAATTGGCACATGCCTATTCATAACTCCTTTTCAGTGGAAGTTGCATGATAATATACAAGACTGCCATACAAAAATGTTAAGCACTGTTTAAATCCTGTTTAAGTTTTTAAGAGCAAAAAGACTCTAATGGAGTGGACTGATTAATAAAGGTAACATCTAACAGGTCTGTATGTAGTGTAGGATTACGTGGTGTACGGGTTGTCGTGTTTGTATGTGTTTTGTTGAGTGTGTTGTATGCATGCGTGTGTCCGTGTGCAACTATGCCAGCTTGGGTTAAGCGCAGAGTGGCCAAAGCCGCAGACACACAGGATAGGTACCTAAATGGAATCAGGCCTGTTAGATTTATGGCCATTTGTTCTGAGAGTGTTCATCCATTGGCTATTATGGAATGATTAGAGGAGAAGGTGAAGCTCCAAGTCCAGCAAAAATCAATACGGCTGTCGAGAACGATTCAGCCTTTCCCGCTCTGAGGAGTATTAGCACCAAACCTCTGTCTCCTCGCACTTCTTCATTCGTCTCCTAGTGATTCAGCCCTAAGCCTCCACACCAGCTTCAGCTGCCATGTTCTTCTCATGGCAGCCGTGTGGCCCCATTTCTATACGACTACTCGGGGAGGTAAGAGTTAAACAAGAAAGCTATCATTCATGCCTTGGGAGCGAATAGTGGTGTGGCCAGCACTCGAGCATTTGCTGTGTTCTAAGAAGGAATATCAAGTTAGCAGGAGGGGATTAAGGCCATTTTTCCTACTGCGTAAAACTCTGTTCAGTGGGATCACTCGTAAATAGATATATGATCCCAGATATTATTCAGACATGCTACTTCTCCAGGCCATATTATAACACCTCAAATGTTGTGATTACATAGCAGCGTTAACATATTGTAGGTTGGTTACTGTACAACATAAAAAAGTCTGAATTTTAGCAATAAATGTCTCTTCTACTAACAGCCTACCGATGTGACAGCTCTTTCTCCCCAGGTCTGAATATATTCAGTAATGATGTGAAAATTCTGATACAATGTGGAGGTAAGATTGAGTGGTGGGTGTGATGAAGGAGCATGAGAACCACGTACCTTGTAGACTTTGAGGCTGGCCTCATGGCGAGTGTTGACAGTGTGCATCCTCAGCTTCTCCAGGCTGTTGGTGTAGTAGTCACAGGCGTTGCATTTCAGGTGCACAGGGTTGCCTATGGCCACACACTTCAGACGCCACTCGTTGCCTTTGCCCCCTTCTTTAATGTGGGCTATGAGCTGATACTTTTGCACGTGCTTGTCTGTCTTGCAGTGCAACTGGAAATTGGCCTTGAGCTGGGTGGTGTAGTGGCACAACTTGCACTGGTGAGAGTCGCCCACCACCGCACGCCATTCCTCCTCCGGTAGGCTGCGTTCAGCTCCCATATGCATGCCAAGCACATCCAGGTTGTCAGTTGTGAAGCGGTTGCACACGGCGCACTGAAAGAGCTTGAGGGAGGGATCACTGGTTTGTGATAGACTCTCTCCCAGGGTCATCAGTTCTTCGGACACCAACTGGCCACCGCCCAGCCGCACGTCCATGGGAAGCTCCCCGCCAACTACAATGTGCGAGAACACAAAGATAGAGAAAAAGGAAACAGGTGAAGAAGTTGCATACATAATTTTATCATGTTAGACATTTTCAGAGTTGCATTCTAAATTATAGTCCAGTTTTCAATGAGCACTCCTTCATTTTGTTGCTTATCTCATTATAATATAAAGGAAGGCTGTTAAACTTTGACAAACCCTCCTCTGTCTTTGAGTACAATATTGCATCAAGGATGCATGTATGTATTTATGGGCCTATAGCTATTCTTGATTTCAGCTGGGAATGGAGACTGGGACTTTTCAATAGTGACTCAAAACCTCATGCTGCCAGAGATTGAACTTACATGTCGCCTGTTTGGGTTAGTGCAGGTTCATGGCCTGTTTGTAAATCAACTCCAGAGGCCACAAGCTCCAGAGAAAAAGCAAGTTATTTTATCATTACTGAAGAACTAAGGAGTTCCCAAACACACATTACTGTAAATCAAATCCATCGCCCACGTTCAGTGAATAATAATTTGAAAAATTCCACTTCTCTACTTCACTTGGATTCTTCTGTGTCTTTCTCTCCCGATTGCCTCTAAATCAATATGGACACCTGACAGATTAATTCTGCTTGGTACGGAGTCTAAATGCTGGAGAAGGAGGAAAAAACACAGCAAGCACATATCCTATGACACCAACCACAGAACTGATGTCTATACAGTCTGGGGACGTTGACTTAAAAAATGAACGCTGAAAAAATGAGGTAAGAGCAGCCAGAGTTTTTGCCTTTGCTTGCTGATCTTTAATCTTTCACTGCCCAGACTGAGCATGCAGGCGTGACCCTGCCTGGCTTTACACTAAATTAATTCCAGCAGCTCCTTTTTATTTATTGCTGCAGTATGCAGCCTGCTCATGGACTTTTCTCCATTACCTGAGTTTTTATAGCCAGGAGAGGGAGACCTTTGAGAAGCCCTCTGAAATCACTCACAGGCCAAGCTCTCCAGTCATAGCTCCTTAGCTTCTCTCTCTCTAACAAACACACAGATGCACGCACACACACTGATGCACGCACGCAGGCGCACGCGCGCGCGCACACACACACACACACACACACACACAGAGTTTCTAGCACAGTCCTGTCCTTTCCTGCACCTTACCATCTCTCATTTCTACCTGGCTCTCAAGCTCCATTATTACGCAGATTCAGTGATTTACCACAGACCTGGATCTTGTTCCTCACTAAATTCTAGCGATAGACCATTAGACCAAGACAATGATTTGCAGCTTTACATCTGTTTCCTCATAGTTTTCCTTATATTGAAACTACATGTATTTATGTTAACCCATAGCCATTTTTATACAAAGATATCTTGCCATGGCTATCATACTTGTCTTTTTTGCAGTTTCACTGAGTACAACAGAGAAGTTCCAGCAAAAATTGATAAAAGTCAAATCCTTCTCCTCTCTTGCACTCCATCTCATATCTTTCCTTAACAGCAGCAGCTGAGTCTCGGGAACAAGGATTATAAGGAGGCTGAAATCATGTGAGGTCAACGTTTGCTATCTATCTCTCTACACTCAAAAGTCAAAAATCCACTGTAGAGGCATGAAAGAGGACCTCTTATTCTTTAGCCTGAGATCTACTTGCGATGGCAGATTCTCTCTGGAGATTTACTGAGCCTTGTGTACCATACTGTTGAGTTAATATCGGTGTCAGAATGTTTGTGTATGATGACTTTAAGAGTTCCTTTAAGTGTGACAGAGGATGACACCACTGTAGTTTATGGGTCCAGACTGTGTAATCATTGCCTCCCTTGTAACATGCTTATTACATCTCACCTCAGAGGAAAATGAACCAGATGGCAGGAGAGGGGGAAAAGAATTAGTCACAGCAATCAATTATTTTCTTGTCTTTGAACTGGTGACAGTTTGAGACAAGGAGTACTAACCGTGAGGTCGTAACTGTACCTGGCATGCCAAACACATAATGCTTGGGGAGGGGATGATGCAAGGCTGTCAAACTCACATTTTAGGGACAAGGTGAGCTTCAAAATTCATTTGAAATTAAATTAATATTGCGTCACACGAAATAAAAATGCTACTAGGCACATTTATGTTCATGTGTTTGTAGATGAAACAGATCGTTAGACCGGTCACATGCACTATAAGGTTTAACAATGAATATGGAACTGGGCATAGGCGCACTGTCATGAAGACTATCATGTACACTTTAGAAAGCACAAGAAAATATGGAGTATCTGCTTTAAGCCCCGTATAGCTATCTATAATAGATAATATTAATTTACCTATCCCTAGACATACCTAAAGGCATGGGAAAGAAAGGCAGCTGATGAAACTAAAAAGTGAGGATATAACTATCACTAGAAGCGGAGAGGGGCAATATGTGAATACTCCTGCTCATCATTTGCTTTGTTGTCACTTAAAAATAAAAAGGTAAATGACACTGCAGTTTCATGTTAATTGATGAATTAAGATTCAACATCAGGTCAAACTGGAGCTCATCCCACATGATAACAGAAATGCTGTGAACTGAATTTGTGATTTTGAAGGCAAATTGGGCCATTTCTGAAAGCAAGAGAGGAAAAATGGGGCTCACCAAGTGCAGGGGCCAGGGCAGCCATGTTGGGATCCAGGTGAAAGCTCCCCATCAGAAACTGGGCCTCTGCTCCAGCTGGGTCTATCTTGAGGCCTGGTGGAAGGCTCATGTTCTGAGTCAGGTAATACTGGTAGAGCTCAGCCTCAGAGGGTGAGGGCATGGCTCCCAAGCCAAGTCGGCTGTGCTGCATCTGAGTCACATTCTGCTGAAGTAGCATCATGTTGTGCATGTGCTTCTCACTGGTCATGTGGATGCGCAGGTTCCGTGCGACATTGGTCTCATAGTCACACACCTCACACCGCCAAGTAGGTTTGCTCTTCGGCTTGGTTGGAGAGGGTGCCCCACACGGTACGGCCATATGGGTGGAGGACTGTGTAGGATGGTGGTGGGGTGGGTGATGGCTACTGGCCTGGGTCACTGAGGGGACAGCTACCACTCCTCCCGGGGTATGTCCAAACACCTGCTCCTGTGCAGAGCCAATAGATCCTCCATTCTGCAGTGTCTGCATGTTGTTCAGGTGCTTGTCTGACTGCATGTGGATGCTTAGGTTGCCCTTTGTGGTGGTCGAGTAGTTACACACCTAGAAAAGATAGCACATTGTTTCTTGAACTGCAATAATATTATTCAGACATTACTTTCAAGCATCACTTTACATTTACATATGTCTAAATTATTCAACAAATCAATAACAAAATAATTAATTCAACTTAAATAAAAAAAACGAAATGTCTTGGCTACACACCTCACACCGGAAGGGCTTGTATCCACAGGTATAGCTTTCTCCACGAGCAAGACGAGGGTGGCTCTGGCCACTACTGCAGTAGGCACAAGAGCCTCCAGAGTCTGGGTGCTTCTCTTTCATGTGGGCCTCCAACGTCTGCTGGTACTTGTAATGCCAGTTGCATTTGGGACACTTAAGTGTCTTGCACGAGTTGCGTGAATGCATCATGGTCATGTGACCACCCAAGGAACGTGAGGAACCCAGAACAGTATCACATTTAGGGCATTCTACCCCACTTCCTATGGGGCCACCAAGCCCATGGTTCTGTGAACACTCGCCCATTCCTGTTATGTCACAGGAGCCCCCCGGGAGGGGGTGCGAGTGGCCATGAGATGAAGGGTGGAGGTGATGATGATGGTGGTGCAAGTGGTGATGGTGCAGAAGGGCTCCATTTTCCTCCTCTCCCTCTGCTGGGAAATCATTTGGTTCTGGAGCTGTGGCACTATCTCGATTGGCACTTTCATCAGCAGCAGCATTGGAGGACAGAGGTGAGGAGGAAGTGCCAGCAGTGTCATCCTCGCTCCTTCTGACGGCAGCTGCTGCCATTGCCATGGGAACAGTGGGCCCCTGGCAGTTAAAGCTCAGAGGGAGCTCGGCGGTCCTCCCCCCACCATCTGAAGCTGAACCCTCTTCCTTTACAGAGGAGCAAGTGGAAGCAGGGGCTTTGCTGTTGAGTGTGGAACTTACTGCAGAGGTGCAGGCAGAAGGCTGGAGAGCGCTACTAGGCATTAATAAAGGAGATTTGGAAATGCTTTGGTTTGAGACAGCTGGTTCCCCTGCTTCATCCCCGCCACTGCTACTGTTACCACCACAGGCCATTGCAGTGCTTTCTGCCTCCGCCTCATCTTCCTCCTCCCCTAACAAGAGTTCCTCTTCTTCTTCTGACCCCCCCATCTGACTGGAAAGGTGTGCCTTGCTTTCATGTCGCTCAGTGTCCCCTCCCTTGCATGCCAACTCTTTCCCAACAGCCTCCTCAGTTCTCCCTCCCTGTCTGGGCAGGGCACTGGAGTCTTTGGCAGAGCCTGGGGATGAGGTAAGAGTGGATGCTTTGGGAATGCTCAGACCTCCAAGAGAAAGGACTGAGCTCAGTTGGGTATGTTGTTGCTGCTGTTGCTGGAGGCCAGAGTCAGAGTCTTTGTTCATGAGGGTCTCGCTGCCCCCACTGCTGCTACCAGGCTCCAGATGGACACCACTAAATGTGCCATAGAAGCTCTGGCTAGAGTTAATGGGGAGCGGGGTAGATGGCAGAGGAGTGCTCTTATTTTTTGGTTCCAGAAAACTAATGAGGGGCTCTTTGTCTTTCCCAATGCCCTGGATGATGGCAGATACTTGCTTGTCCCCCAGCAGCCGCCGCTCGTCCTCACACAGTGTCATGCGGTGATCATGGACAGCATGAGTGGCAAAGGAACGCGAATAGCCAAAGGACAGCTTGCAGAGAAAACACATAAGAATGGGCTTACCCTTGCCATATAGGGCTAACCCATCAAATTTGGAGAAATCCACGTTGTTGGGAACATCTTTGGATACACAGGACTTCTTGGCAGACCCATCGCTGTTCAGGTAATCCTTGTTGCTTTTGTGCCGCACATCGAAAACACGGAAACTGTGCAGGACAGGACTGAGACCTGCCATTGTTGAGGTATTGGGGAAACCTTGGTCTGAATTGCCAAACCACTTCCCGAAGGACGAGGCTATGTGGAACGTGTTGATGATCTGAGGGTAGACCAAGGATGAAGTCCCAGCAGGCTCGCCCGGTTTTCCCCCAATGGTAAGAGAGTTTGTGGGAAGCAGGCCGGGTACCATGCCCCCACCACTTTGGATCAACTGACTGAGGCTCTCTACGATGTAGGCTGAGCCATCTGGCTGGTAAACTATTTCTCCCGCCAGGTTCTCCACATCACTGCTCTCCTCTTCATCTTCCTCCTCTCCTTCCTCACTCCCACTCTCAGGTGCTCCTTGCTGTCGTGTGGGCTGGTGTCTCAAGAGAGTGGGCATTCCTCCTCCCCCTGAAGCCATGGGCACCCCGGGAAAGGGCTGAAGACTTGGGAAACAGCTGTCAATCTCCATTTCATCTAAGTCCTCCGATTCTTCCTCTTCTCCACAACTCACTCCCTCTTGCTCTTCTTCCTCAAGACCGTCTCCTCTGGGATGCAGCTGGCCCGTAGCAGAGCTATCACTGCGGGTCTGGGGTGATGTCTCTTTTAGCTGCTGATGCTGGGACTGTACTTCTCTTATCTCGTCATGAGTTGCACTGGGGTTTTGGGGTTGAGAAGGGTAGGGAGCAGAGAGAGATAGAGGGTCCAGGGAAGGAGCCTGGTTGGTGCAAGGGACCTGTGAGCTAGAGTGATCGTTCCAGGGCTGTGGTGGTTGCTGCTGCTGGGAGGAGCTGAGCCCATCGTCTGTCCCAGAAACCACGGGAGACTCACAGCTGTCCATGCTGATGCCTACATGAGGCGTTCATCGCATCCAGGCCTGCAATGACATAGATTGCGATACATAAGAGGTTGTAGTAGTATTTGGGATGTTTGATTTAAACTTTCATGCTTATGCTGCACATAAGGACACACAACTCATCATTAACCCAGCTAATGTTAGAAACACACAGGGTCTGAGGTCACCAAAGTGGACTTTTCATCCCCGATGATGTGTGTTTTCAAGTGTTAATATGACCATTAAGAACAGATCAGATACAGAAAATATGGAAAAAGGACAATATGTTCAGGAAACTTAAAAGAAGAAAAATCAAATGTATGGTGTATTGGGTAAGATGCAAAAGTCTGAGATATAATTGGAAAAATGACACCATGCTCATTACACTAGATCAGATACTTAAACACAATACCTGAGACAAGCACTAATAAGCCATCCATGATTCATCTTCCTGCCATATCAGAAAGGTACCATCTTTTATCTTCACCTTCCAAACAACACCCCTAATCTTATATTCTGCAAATCCTACATCCGTTTTTAATTAACTTGCAGTCAGAAAAAAGGGAGAAACAGGCTAACTTAATGGATCAAATAGATTCCTTGTGAGATAATTAGACACTGAGAAGCCACCCATCAGCACATTGAACATTTACATAACTGGAAGAAAAAAGGGGGAAAAGCTATTCTTAACAGTATTATTACCATCTTCAAGTTATGTACATATAAGAGGAATATGACTCATGCACATTATTGAAATAGCTGTGTATGAAATCTAACAAGAGCAATAAAAGGCAGTATTTTCTATGAGCCCAAAATACATAAGCTGGGTTGGGACTTCACTGCAGCTGTGTTTAGACCTTGCATCCAATAACCTCTACGCTCAGCCTGGTTTCAAACACTCCAGCCATCCTCCGCCTCTGAAATAATAAATGGGAGCTGAGCTTTCGGGAGCTAGCCATGCCCCAAGCATCTGAGAGGCCCAACACAGGCTGCAATTTAGAGTGCAGAAGAGATAAAATGATAGCGTGAGATACTGCTGAGCTAATAATTTTATTAAAGGGATGCAGCCAACATTGATTAAAGGGGGCAATCGGGCTGAAACCAATAACTCTGGGCTGCCCTTTAACCCGCCATCACTGAATATTACATGAGCAAAGTTTCCCGGCACCAAGCTCACTGCCATGTCCCGGTTGATTAGCGCATTCACTGCTTGCACTTGATTTATTTACTTATTTACTTAGGGATGCAAATTTCAGCTGTGATCAGAATGGAGTCTTCCCCCACGCCCTAACATAATAACCACCGAGGGAGAGGAGAGATTGATAATGTCTGTCTGCCTCTTCATGAATGTCTGATGAAGCTCACCTCCCACGCAACATACCTTAGACCTCTCTAGCTTATATACACTTGAACTACAAAAAAAACACTCCTGTGCTTGTATATGGACATCAAAATCAAAACCTAAAAGCAATATAAAGATAAAGCACCTTGTTTATTTGAGGAAATTTAAATTATAACTACAAAGATGATGTTGACGTGACTATCACAAACACTAGGGAAGAGACATTTTGTGCTAGTATGGTCAATCTGACGTTTTGTTTACACACCACAGAAGCGAATCCCAGTGACCCTTGTGTTGCTTTGCATACAAAATGAAAGATATTAGACTGGCTGGCTTATTAACAAGATTGCTTTATACAGCCAGACATGATTTAGAGATGGCTGCCATATTGAGTGAGGGGATACTAGCCCTGCTGGTCTGTATTTATTATCTGCTCCATTAATAAGAGGCTATGAGCTCAACAGCCATTTCACACAAATGGACTAAGGGCAGCGAGACTAATGCAAGAAAAAAAATATGCCACATGTCAAACAGACACTGATTTTTCAGACTAAAAGTACATGAATAAACGGAACAAAATGAAATTGGAAAAAAAGCAGATAATGGGTTTTGTCTAAAAGGACAACCTGTTAGGAAAAACTGTCCATATTCCCTGTCTGAACATGGACTGTTTCACACTTACATTAGTCCATCCTCTGGATTCCACTGCCTGTCTGCACCAGGCCTGAGCCCACATGTGCAACTAGTAGTTAAGATTCCTAGTAGATCTTAAGTACTAGTTGACCTCTAAAGTTCTCTCATCTTTGGCTTGATGATTCTAAACAGAGTGGATACTGTGTAGGCTACTGTACTCAGGGTATCTACCCATCCTTTCCTATTACTGCTGTACCTGAAGCAATTAGCAGCAGACAGGATAGCACAATAACTCTTGGTCAGCTCTAGAGCTCTGAGCCAGCTTGGTGTGTACACTGCTCACAGAAAACAGGATTGCCCTTTAAAATCAAGATGGTGTAATTCAATAACCTGCAGTGGTTACTGATGAGCAATGGGATTGTCTGGAGTCTGCAAGTCGCAGATGGGCCCACTGATATAACCCTGTTTGTCTCTAGGAGGTCTGCCTGGCTCAGTGACACCTGTTTAAAGCAGGAAAAGCTTTAATCTCTGGGAGGCACTAAACAAGTCCAGGAGACAGACAAAGAGACGCGGTCGAAGGAGAGGGGAAGTGGAGGAGGCCGGTGTCTCAGTGTGCTGACTGTGTTGATAACCACAAATCAAAATGATGGACCAGCCCAGTAAAGGTAACTACTGCTGAGTGGCATTATGTGAGCTAATATACTGTAATATGTAAAAAAGTTAATTTTCTCCTGCATACTGGCACTGATGCTAAGTGCACAAAACAAAGTATGCCATGGCCTCTGCCCTTGTGCCGTATCACAACTCTAAATGTGGGCTCACCGAGTTGACAATAAGCAGGCTGTATGCAGCCAAAACAGGCTTTAGTTGACAATAAGAGATAATCAGAGAGAAGAAAAGGCTGGATTCCTGAGCTGATCTGACGGAGAGCATGCCGATGCACAGATCCCAACTCACACTCCTGCTGCCACCTGCCTTCAAAGGGCTTCATGCCAGTGTCTCCCTGCTCCCTCTTTCTCTCTCCACTGACAAAAAGTAAAACTCACACTCCACCCCACCCCAACCACCACCCTAACAACGCAGATAAGGTTGGGCCTCGTGAAAAGGCCTCAGTTCTAATGAACACTGTCAGAGAGTGGGTCTGGATGTCATTTGGTAGGAATGGAAAATGAGATAAGTTTTAAGTTATGGGTCCTTTTATTAGGTGGGATTTACCAGCCAACTGAGGGAGGAATTAAAGGCTAAGGAACCATCTGATTATAAGCATGCCTGATCACCTGCCTGAAGGCCCAGCCTTGCCTCCAGAGGACCCTTCTCTCCATGGGTTTCCTGAGGGATTTATCTCCGACTCAGCCCTAACTGTGAATACTGTTTGGTTATGGGCATCATGCAGAACCGACCCTTTCTCTTATCCGCATGCATGTCAGCAGGGAGGGAACACCTTTTTAAATAGGAAAGACACTGCTTCTTAATACGCCTAGAGGACCCCTCAAAATAAACCAGATCTGGTTTTCAATTGTTCCTCTGTGATGTTGCCTGTCTGTGTCTGGTCTCTGAGCCATCACTGAGCCTGGCCAGCCACCGCAGGGTAAGGGGCGCTTATTGGAAAATCAATGGTGTGAACGCTAAGCAAGTTACAGGAAGATGTGGGAAGGAAGGGTTCTTATTGATAAAGCAGGGGAAGGCCTTTGATGTTGCACTGGGGACATGCTCATTGATGGGGGAACCATTGTAGTCCTCAGGCAGAGTGAGGCCCAGGTTTATCTCATAGGTTTGTTCCAATTAATCACCAATAAAGGCTGTGCATGCATTGCACTGTGTGACTTAATGCCTGACTTGGCTTTGTATATTCTGGTTTAACACAGTGCTCTTACAATGAGGGGGTTTATATTTGTACAGCTTTGATACAAGTGTCTCGTCCTGCCCCTACTGTACCCTATTACTTATAAAACAGGTCTGATAATCAAAGGAAATGCATGAAATTATAAATTATCTACTCTTGCTGTCATTAACTTTCCATAAAATACTTTATACAATAATCTGAGTTGTGTGAGTAAAAAAATGCACATTAAGGTTTGCTGTCCAAAGAGTATGATTATATCAGGTACATAGAGTTCTTGTTCTCTCTGATACCTAACACTGTAAATCAAGTGATTAACCATCTTCGACATTGTTGTTTATTGTGCACTGTAAACATTGTGTCCACTATTTTGCTAATGCAGACATAAGGATGCTTCAGTATTACTCTGACTGCAGGAGGCAAAAAGTCACCTCAGGTCGATGGCACTCAGCCTGTAAACAGGGCTTCCCGTAAAATCAATGATCTTCAGTTGGAGCTATCAGTCTGTGGAACAGAAATAGCCATGGCTGTGTTGAGTCTGAGGCAGGGAGGAGCAGTGCTGTGTGTGTTTACATGAGTGTGTGTGAGTAGAGAGGGTCAGTCGCTGGCATGTCTGGGTGCATTTCTCAGAGATAGCAGAACTGAGTCATGCAGCTTTTGTCGTGTTACAGCCGCTGTTAACCCACATGTATGAGGTGCAGTAGAGCAAAGAAAGCTCAAAGATTATTTCTGATGGTGTTTTGTACATGCACTTCATGCTTCAAACTAGATTTGGAGCAAACACTGTATATCACAGCTGAAATAATCCTTGCTTATTAAAATATGAGTGAACTCAAATACCCTGGAGGCTGTGTGCTGATTGTTTTAGTTTCACAGCACTCAATTTTAGTAACAATTTGGAACAAGCAATGCTGGCCAGAAAAGGCAAAATTGATTTGTTTGTAGTATCAATTGCCTCCTTTGTTAATAAACTCGAAATAGAACCTTGAAAATGATTTTACTCTTCACGCAACACCATCAAATTCTGCTAATCCATTCTATGTTGCAGAACGGGGGAAAAGTGATTTAAGACAAAGCAGCAGTGAAATCAGCAGAACTGCATGTTACTTATACACAGGGCAGTCTGATTAAATGATTCGAGCAGAGCTCAGCTAGAACATCCAGAGCCATCCAGAAGGGATTTACACATGGCACAGGAGTGTTTCCTCAGTTTTGGAAGGTGTGATA